ACAAACAGTATTCTTTCAACTTAGTATAATTAATCTTTCTCTTACAATATAATTCTTTCTACTTTCACACTGGCAGCGCACGCATACACAATGCGGGTCTGGTGCATGCGCAGTGCAGGGCTGGCGAGTGGATTTCACCGCGGTTTGTCAAGCCCTGGTCATATGTAGGCATTTTTTTCAACTAAGAGGGGAGTAAATGGCAACCCAGTGATATTCTCCTGGGTACACTCTGGACTGATGAACAGCTGTGTCCCTTCAGTTCTCCAGCCTACAGTGCCTTCTACACTGCTTCACTGTGAGAGTAACTACTCCTCAGCCTGCTCTCACACAGCCTCCAGCATGTAAATCATTCCCAGCTACAATGCATGAGTGCTGGCCAGCCACTCATGAATTACATTAGAGGGTAACACCAGCAGACTCCCAGTCTTGGACTTGCCCTCAGAAATGCATCTCTTGTACTGCCCCCTATCCTTCTGGACAACATGCACTCATATGAGGTCTGTCATTTCATTAATAAAAAATGATATGCACAAATCTTATCTCAAATGGAGATAAGATTTAACAAAGAGAGAGGAACTGGTTGAGAATTTGAAAGTGGAAGACAGCTTGCATGAAAGTGACCATAAAATCATAGAGTTCATGATTCTAAGGAATGGTAGAAGGGAGAACAGCAAAATAAAGACAATGAATTTCAGAAAGGCAGATTTTAGTAAACTCAGAGAGCTTTTTCATACACAGTGAATTAAAAACAATTACGCAATATAAATTTGTTCAGTTTTCCCCCTTTGAATCTTTAGTCAAAGTTTATACCATTACAATGGTTACTGTATTTTAATGTTTTGTTTTTTCCCACATTTCACTTCAATGGTTAACTGGAGTGCAGGACATATTAGATTATAAACATTAACTTCTACTGGGCTCACTCCAGTAACAGCTGAACAAATATTTCTAACATTGGCAACTTGCCCTCCTCCTGCGTCTGCCTGGAAAGACCACATTTTTTCCAGTCGCTGCTGATGTCTAGCATATCCTGCTTGTGGCAATGAACTGCTGTTAATAAAAGTATAAAAATATACTTAAGTACTTTTTTTATAAGCTAAGGGGACACTTAAAACCTCCCGAAGATCAAAGATGTGCCTTGCTTGAAGCATCTTTACATGTCTTAAAACGTTGGGTATGTAGACATCACGTACATAGTCTAAGGTCCTCTGCAATTATATTATGGCACTTAAAACCAAAGCATATTGTGAAATATTCTCTGGAGGTCAGTCAATGGCTTTAGAACAATGTTTGATGTTTGCGTCTCTGCTAACAAATGTATGCCCTCATGCTAAGCAAGAATGAGGCGGATCCCATTTATTTCAAGACTGTAAATAGGTGTCACATGAAAAGCATACATAAGGACATCAGAAGGCTTTATTCTGATTCTCTGAGCTCATGTTAAAATCTCTGAAGTGGCTTGACCTATATTAAAGGTTCCATATAAAAAGTATAAATTATACTTTATTTTCTGACCTCAGCTCACTTGCACCACCCAGAAAGACAGAGATTGTCCTCCTTTAAAAAAAAACACCCTATATAATGAAGGAGATGAAGCCTCATTACTCTTGTTCTTCCTGTGATTAGATGATTTGCATACCTGATCCTATTCCTGACTTTCATCCAGCTGATTCAGCATCCTGTCTTTGATAGTGGCCATTACCTGATGTTTTGGAGACAGGGTCTTCTGCTCCACTGCTGTGGGAAGTTTGGCTAAGGCACACTGTAATGGAAAAGTGGCTTTGACATTAAGGACATCAAGGCAAATTTCAATTCTTATAAAATGTATTTTAAAATCTTGAATGTCTGGGCAGAGCTGCCTGTAATAGCAGGTTTTACAGACTTACTATATACTGCCAGTCATACTCAAGATCTTAAATGGAGAAAAAAGCTACATTTATTGGTGCTATGATTGGGCAACATCTATTAGACAGAACTCTGGGAAATAAGTGATGGTGGTTATGAAGTGTGAAAAGTCAATACCTGGATTGGCCTATTGGCCATACAGGATGTGAAGGATAAAATTGAGTTAAACAGACTATAGAGGTATGCTCTTTGCAGTTTTAGCAAAGAGCTAGATTTATTTAAAGATCTATTGCATATACCCAATTTTTTTTCAGACTCTGAAATAATATATGTTGACTAGATGGTAGCAATATTCTCTAATTTTTCTTCTATCTAGAGGTAATAGACACAGCCTGAACCTGTATTGCTAACTTCAAATGCGGAATACTTTTGCTTATGGTTCCATAGAGCTCTCATAATTAGCTCCATGAGAGCTAACTAAATGTCTTTTTTTTCTTTCATGTTGCAGAGACTTAGGGGTGTCTGATATCACTTCACACTTATTCCCTTGACTGCAGTGGGATCAGGAACAGGACCTTCATAGAGAAAACTTCTTTCCTTGAGACAGAGTCAGAACCCTATGCTTTCATGAGTGACACTTAGCTCTTGACTTTATTACAGGTATTTGGAATAGGATTGCTCTCTGCACTTCATTGTGTACTTTTCTTCTGGCAAAATGCAATAAAGGAAAAGTTTAACTATAATGAAATGTTGACTCACACTAGGACAGGTTGAAGTATTTGTAGAAAGCATTACAGAACAGCATGCACTTTGTCCTCACACTTTGCAGGTCTTTAAATAAACACACTTACTCAGCTTTTTGTCCCCCAGACTTGAAACACTAATTCTACCTAATTTAAGGTAGAAACAAGAGGGCCCAATTATGTTGGCATTTGAAGCCACTATCAAAACTCCCAGTGAGCTTAAAGGGAATAGGAACAGATCGAGAATGATCCACCCACTGCAAAGTCAGGGGACAGACTACTGAGAAGTCGGTTGTGCTAGTTTGACTTTTCTCTACCAGGAACAGCTCCAGATAAGTATAGGGTAAAATAAACCACACTTGCTTGTAGTTGTGAAGCACTGTTTCAGGGTGGCACAGCGTCAACAGGCTTCCTGGCAGCTTCCAGTCAATGATATCCATCAGGTGTAAAAGTGTTGAAATTCACTAATGCTATATCTATACAGCAGTGTTGTTTTGGAATAACTGATGTTATTCCGAAATAACATCCACATCTACACACAAGCAGTTATTTCGACATAATGGAGGACTGCTTACTCCAACTCCTATAACCCTCATTGTACGAGGAATAAGGGAAGCCAGTGGAAGAGTGCTCTATCTCAAAATAACTGCTGTGCCAAAAGTCAAAATAAGCTATTTTGACTTGAGCTATGAAATTAGTGTAGCTCAAGTTGCATAGTTTATTTCAAGTTTAGTCCTGCTGTGTAGATGTGATCTAATTGTTTGAACAACCAGGGAGGAAAAAGGAAAACTCAAACTGCCTATTTCCATCACAGTTTGCTTTCTTTAGGTATCTTGGTTGGTGGGACTAGTAACTGAAGATGAAGTGAGCAACAAATCCTGTGAAATACTTGGAGTACACGTGAGGTGTGGAAGGGTTTATGCTGTTCCAAAAATGGCTAAGTGTTGGAATCAAAGGAGTTCTCTCCAGCGTCCTGAATGGTGGGAACAGAATAGTGCACACTATGAGAGTATGATTAGAGCTTAGAGTGGGGAGAATATAGAGGTGCTGATGGGGATGTGGCCAAAATAATGCTGAAACAAGCAGTTTGGAAATAAGGGAATTCCACTGTACATTCTATAAAAGAGAAATTTAAGAGTAAATAAAACTGCTAGTTACAAGCTCACAACTTTCTGAACAGTGATAGTCATTTTCCTTGACCCATATGCTAAGAGTTGATTCTGAGTGGAAGGGAACAAGTTCACTATATCCTTCGCTTTTTACCACATTTGAGTTTTGAAACCCACATTAGAATATTTTACCTGCGATTTACTCTTCTTTAAGTTTTGAAAAGAGAATGCATTGAACAGTTCCCATGCTCAAAGTCATTGACCATGGAATAGGGCATTTTTACTGCAGAATAGTTTATTGGTAATTGTAAGCAGCCCACTTTAGAAGATCTCTAGGGATGTAGTATATTGAATTCCAGGGAACTCAGCAACTCTCAAGCTTAGAGCCTATGATCAATGCTTAGGTAAAGAAAAAAAATCCAGTTACAAATCATTCTATATTGTGTATATTATGTTGTCAGTGTGCATGTGTCTGTGTGAAGTATAACATATTTAGTATTCCAATATTTTCTAAGATAAGAGGTAGTGGTGAAGATACATTTAGTTATTTTAGCTCGAGTTTAACTTGATTTTATAACATACATTTAATTCCTAAACAAGAGTCCTCATTAGATTGTTCTTTATGGTATTTCTAAATGTTGATTTCCTCTATACATGCTTTAACTTTGCAACAACTCTATTTTAAATTTATAATTTTCCAATTTTTATACATAGTTGATTTACATATACTTTTGCATGATGTAATTGAGGAAGATCTGCCATTGGATATTTTTCCTAAAATAGAATTTTGTAGCTCAAACAGGAATGAATTTAGAAAAGTGCTATGACCAGTGTTATCGCAGAAGTCAGATTTGGTGATCACAATAGTCCTTTACAATTTACTTTAAAAGAAAACATCTAATAAAAAAAGGCCTTAAATACAAAATTCATGCTCTGCATTAAAGTATTTTGTAATGTTAAGACTAGTGTTCCAAAGCAATACTGTGTGCACACTACTATTGTAGACAAAATATCTGAAGTCCAGAGAGAGGTTTGGCTCCCCTCCACAGATGAATGTTTGGCTCCACTAAAGTCAAGGGGAATTTTGCCAATGACTTCTAAGTCACACTGTGGTAACTTCTGTTACTTTTTTTATTCCATTTGTTTGCATCTTCTGATTGTATCTATCAAGCTTTACTTTGGTCTGTTCCTTAACTTATTCTGCCTTATTATAAAAGCCAAACTAAAATGGGGCAGACTTTGATCTGTCAAATACAACCAAATATATACAGAATAAAACCAAACAAAACTAAAGCTGCTTACCTGGATTTATTCATAAGCTTTACTCAAGAAAATATATCAACAACTATAATCTGCATAAAATTCAACAAATATGCTACTTTTCAAGATTGATTTTACTACGCACATTAAAAGATTCTTCCCCATCTAATTTGGGCATGTTAAAGAAAAACAACAAAATGCTAGACTTTTGAAATGCTTGCTCAGGAAAATTGCCATAAAGTAATACTACCTTAGGATCCATGATGCTTGAAATCACAAACCTATGTATTTAAACAGTACATTTGTTTCCTTACATGTTTGGGCGAGGTCCAAAACATTCCAGACTTATGAAATAGCCTTCCTTTCTTCCATTTATCTTTATTTTTTAGGATGACTTCTTGGCACTCAGTTGTGCATTGCTTGCATACCCCAAACTCTCATTCAAATAAGTGAGATTTTTGTGTGCACAAAATATGAAATCAAAGCCCTTAATGATATCATGTTATTAAGAACTTCACTTTGTATGGAGTAGCACTTTATGCCACAAGTAGTCCCATTGACTTTAATAAGCCCACTAGTAGAGAAAGGAATCTTTATTCACATTCTAGAATATTAGAAAGTGGCCTCAAGTGTGATTACAGATAATCAGAAATAAATGAGACGTTTAGCAATTCAGAGATCTAAGCTTTATTGTTTAATCCACTGCCCCAAGTTATTCTCTCTCGTGAATATTCCATCATGTTCAATGTCTAACATTGTAGGTATCTTTATTCTATAAATAGATTGTCCACAGAAACAAGTCCTGATGTAAATTTATTTCCCAAGTTCTATCGATGGCAAAATATGTACCAGGCTTGAGCCACTGATTTTTTTTTTAAGAAAAAAAAAGAAGCTATTTTATACGTGTGACATTTTATCATCATGTAAAACCAGATTCTTTGTTGGAAAGCATAAATTTAATGAAAGAGTCCCTGAGTGCCATTCAGTAAAGCATCAATAATTAACATTGGTCCTTTGTGGGGTGGGCGTGGGGGGGCAAAGAAGAGTCATTGTTACAAACACTTACTGAATTTTGAGGACTACTGCTTCATTTAAAAAGTTTAGATTTTGATAGAATCTGAAAGGAATGAGGGAGGATTCCCTTTCACAAAATATTGGTCAGAAACAAAAGCTAAGTATTCTTACATTCTATTTAAAATGGAAATACAATACAAAATTATCACAGTTTTAAGGAAAGTGACCCAGATTCAGACATGGTCACCATGGTAATCACCAATAATTTCAATAGATTTGTAGTTGCTTACATCAAGATTGAAGTTAGCCAAAACAAGGCTTTTTTAAAGACAGTACAAAAACAGTCAAAGTGGAAAAAAATTATATTTCTGCAAATATTTCACAAAGATTTATCATAGGAAACTCAGAATACTAAAGCAACATTAGTGCAGTTTCCACAAAAGTGCATAAATGGTTAATATAAAAGCTCAGTCCATGCCTGCACATTGAAAAATGACTCCTTTGTTTTAAAGGAGGAAACATTCTCCATTGCTCTTTCCAAAATTGCTTTTTAAAAGGGTCAAACTGTCAGTCTTGTTTTAATTTTACAGATATTTAAAAATAAAAGTTTCTATTAATTAAAAATGTGTACGATATTTTACAATAGAATTTAAGACAGTGTTAAAATATTTAAGTTGTTATTTCGTTCTTTACATTTAGTTTAGCCTAGATTCATAATATTTTTCTAATACACCAGGCTGATATCAGGATTTCTTAAAGCCATGGAAATTGAAGCTGCTCAGATTCAGATATTTTCAAAAAGGCGGCCACCAGGAGACTTAACTCTTGACCTATCTTTCTATGTCCAAAACTCATGACCCTTAACACTACCCACTCTGTCAAACCCTCTTGAGCATATTTGGTATGCTTCAACAGAAGACCTTTGCTTTACAATGCTACATTATATTTATAGCTTTGGCTTACTGAGGTTATACTGTACTTAATTTTATGAAGTGCTACATACATGTAATACAATGTTTTGTATTCATTCTATTCTAGTTTGTGAAGAAATAAGCTAAAACTGCAAAGGTGTTTCTCTAATATTAATACAAATGGATAAAGGGTAGAGATGTTTTAAATAAACATCATAACTTTAAAAATCCCACACAGTACACACAACACAACCTGTATAACATTTCAGCCAGTTTAGAAAAAGAATCCAATTCTCTTAACTGGAGCAGCATATAGGCAGAAACTACCATATTTATGTAAAGTGGAAAAATGAAGGCAAGTTTACTCATGCTACTAAACATGGAGTATATTACCTAATGGGCAAATTGCACTGAATTCAGGTGAAGACTACACATGTACATCAGCTAAAAATATGCATTCACGTCATTGAAGCCATAGTCTTCTTCAAGGTTCAAAAGGGAAGAAATTCAAAATTACTATTATGATAAATATCGTTGCATTCCTACTGTACGTATTTTGGTGGTTCAATTTAGACCCTAAACTTGAGTCAGACTAATTTCAACCCAAACTTGAAACATATGGATGGTTGTTTGGCCAAGCTTCTTAGCTAGTTTGGATGTCTTCCTTAAAGTGAGCACACTATGACTGTTAGCCTGTAGAGAAACACCTTACTTTGCCCTTTATGGCTATTTTAAAGCATCTAATTGCATATATGTATTATAATTAAAAAGGGGGGCATTCGTTTCAGCCCCCTATACAGTGGATGTATTACAAGTTGTTGAATCATTAGAGACTGCTTTGGATTTAGGACCGCAGCAAGCAAAGAGTTGATTCCCCAAGGTCTTCTGGGCAAATCGGAAGTACATTATGTGGCCCATTGCAACAAAGGACACAGAAATAAGCACCAGTAAGCCGAAAGCTTCAGGGTTTGGGGCCAAGATGACCATGATGAAATGCAGCAGATCAAGAAGGTAATTCATGGAATTCTGGACACCATTTATAATGCCTCTTTCAGACTCTATCACGTTTTCTTGGAGCAATTGTGTGACAGTCAAATCAAAGGACCAGAGGCCTATGTGGAAGGGGGGGAAAAAAAAGAAAAAAAAACCTTCATTATCTATATGGAAGGGTTAGATTGTCATTATAAGTTATTTCTTTAGCAACATAATCTTCATTATAACGAGCATTTATTTACAGTTAAACATCTGTGTAAAGTTGTGCTTTCATCTTATTTTAATAGATTTCCCAGAAGTGTAGCTAATGGCAGCATTAGGCCCTTTTCTAATATTTCTTATGGATAGTGAGTACTGGTGCAACACTGAATCAAGTATTCCTGTCAAACAATGCTTTATGCAACAATCCTTTTCTTATTAATGAGAGTCTGAGAGAATCCCTTTCTTATTAATGAAAATAATCCTAGAGTGTCTGACACTCACGATAAAACTGAGCAATACAAGTATTTTTAATAAACGTAAGTCATTTAAATGCTCCACGTGCAAGAGAGAAAAATGTAGAGATACAGTAAGACTAATTTTACTTCAGAAGAAAGTTAAAGATTAAATGTATGTAGATTATAATCATCATCTACTTATTTTTTAAAGAATTTTTCATTCTAATGGTTATCTCTAAGGCTGTCTACACTGCCCCCTCTTGCGCAAAAAATGCAAATGAGGCGAAGCATGAAATATCACTGTGCCTCATTTGTATAATTAATGAGGCTCTGGTTTTGCGCAAGAGGCTTTTGCACAAAAAGGAGCCCATCTACATGACTCCTTTTTGTGCAAAAAACCCCTCTTACGCAAGAGTCATTCTTCCTCTTTTTTTCAGGAAGAACAGCTCTTGCTCAAGAGGGGTTTTTTACACAAAAAGGAGCCATGTAGACGGCTTCTTTTTGCACAAAAGCCTCTTGTGCAAAAACAAAGCCTCATGAATTATACAAATTAGGTGCGGCGATATTCCACACTTCACCTCATTTGCAATTTTTTTGCGCAAGAGGTGGCAGTGTAAACATAGCCTAAAGTTTATGGCTGTAATTAACAACAATTCTGTCCTGGGGGAAGGTTAATGTGTTTGGGGGAAAATACATGTTTCCTGCAGTGTTTACACTTGAAAAGTTTTATTTCAAGAAGAAATTCATTGTGGCAGCTACTGTGTCGTATTCATCAAGATTTAAAGTTTTCTTTGCAAGTACCTCTAGACTCATGCAAAACAAGTACTTCTTTCCAAAACAATTAGAAAAGCCATAAGATTAAGAGGAGTACTACAAAATTATGCTTCATTCATGCAATGTATAACTAAATCATTCTGTTCTTTGATTCTCTTGCAATGTTAATACTATACTATCTAGCAATTCCCTCAAAGCTTTTAAACTATAGCAATCAAACTATCAAAACTATCAAACTATAGCAATTTTTAATTAAACTTCTGAAAATACTTACCAATTCTAGCAGCAATGACTCCTGCAAATAGAAGGCTAACAGAGATTAAAGGCACAGAATTAGAACTCATCTCTAGGTCACTATTAACAGAGCTAGAGCTGTTTAACCAGTTGTGCATTCCAGTTGTAAAGGAGGTTTCAGACATATCAGCTGGAAGCACAGTAGGCAATGGTTGTCCTTCCAGTAACCTGGTACGGATGTCAGCAAATGGGGAAACAGTCAAATCCAAAGGACTCCCAGGCATGAACACAGAAATCACACATAAGACCAAGCAGGCAAGTTGGGCTATTCCAGAGATGAAGCCGGTGCGAACCAGGCCACATTTGCGATGGAGCCAGGTAAAGGCTACTGTTCCCGTGATTCCAGTTATGGCTGAGGCCCCCATCAGAAGGCTTAGTACAGAACCGCTCAAACCCTGAGTATATGCATAACCTGTGGTAATGCAATCAAAACCTAGCACAGTCATATAGAGGAATGCAAGAGCCATGCCTGCAAGGAACACAGGTTGGTTGTAGTATGCAACCCATCCATCACGAAATGTGATGAAAGGTTCAGAAATTCTGGTACTGCAGCTGATTTCCTTCTCCTGGGGCTCAAAGACTGCAACATCTTTCTCACCAATTAATTGGATGCCCTCAGTGGGCTTCAATTCACTATCTGTAAATAGAAATATAACTATTAAGTGCTTTCCTGCAAAAGAACTAAGGAGTTTAGCTCATTATGCTGTATCTATTTAATAAAAGGTACATTCTTTTTATGGAGATTTATCATCTTAAATATATTTGATTAATTATAAATTATAAAACCAGTACTGAATAGGGGAACCAAAAAATAAAACTAATTTTCATGATTAAAAAACCAGCTCAGTTTAATACATTGGTCGGGAGAGGGTAGTTTACTCTCTTCTCACACTAGGTTTCTTGTGAATTGTGGACCCTCAGTAATTACTTGTGCAGAAATAATTTACCTAAATGATGACACTGGGCACTTACATAGGGCTTTGTGTTCAAAGCACTTTACAAACATTAAAGAAAAACATTAATTAGCCATGAGATAGGCAAACAATTATTATTCACCATGTTATTGATGAATAAACCAAGATAGAGAACTTAGAGACCTGCTGAAGACTACTTAGGGAGTCTTTGTGAGAGCTGGGATTCTAATACAGAAGTCATTCTTAGGGTACGTCTAAACTACATGACTCCGTCAACAGAGCCATGTAGATTAGTGTACTCGAAAAAGGGAAATATGCCATTCCACGAGGCATAACGGGGCGGTCCTTGTCGACCGCAGAGCGTCTAGACTACCATGCTGTGCCGCCAAACAGCTTATCGGCACAGCACGGCAGCCATTTTGATATAAATGAAGTGGCAATTATTTAAATCGCCGCTTCAATTTCCCTATGTCTAGAAACCTAATCTACATGGCTCCGTCGACTGAGCCATGTAGTCTAGACATACCCTTGGTTTCCAATCCTAGATCACACTTCCATTAAAAAACAAAAAACAAAAGCTACCCAATGTCAAGTTCTTATTGTGTTGCAAACCTAAAGCCAGGAAAGAGTTGGCAAAGATTCAAAAGTCTCAGCTAGAGGAAGCCACCTGACACTTTGGGGATGGCTGAACTTTAGTGTGTGTTCTGGAGTTGATTTTACCCTGAAGCTTCACACAAACCCCTGCAAACAGATATGCCTATGTCTGAGGTATATTTACAGCCATAACAAGTCTGGTTTTAAACCAAGTCAAAATAGTGAGGGACGAGACAGGTTTTCTAAATGTTGCCAGTTGCTAAATGTGTCCTCCGTCTTAAGGAGTTTGGAGAAGCCCCTTTCAAAGCTTCAAGGAGCTGCACTCACCTTTTAACCTCTTTACTTTACCCCATGAACCTGTGTTGTCACCAACCTCTTAGCATAAGAGAGGTGACCATGGTTCTTTCTAGAGCATATCACCACTGCTGCAGTATTAACCCCAAGGTTAACTGCAGTTCTCATTCTCACAGAAAGGCTAAATGTGCTCTTTGGAGTCGTATGATCTGCTGGTTGGGGAGAAAAGCACCCAGGAAGTGTTACTAAGATCTCCTAAACTGTAGTGTGGCACTAGCAGTAGGCTGCTAAAATGGTCTCTCCTTCACCATCTTTTTACTCTACCAATAGATTTTAAGTTGTCCTAGAATTTATCAAGATGTTTTTTCTTACAATGGTCCCACCCACATGTCCCCCTGGAACTACTCTGGTACCTTCTTAAGAACCCTAATCAAACACTAAATCTTAGAAAAGAGTCCTCATTTAATGGTACTTCACAAACTACAGCAAAAAATTCCATATCCTTGATGGGGTGTTCGGAAGCGGTTTCTCCTAGATGCTTTGAGTGGCATTTCTATGCTAGATGTCTAATTTTTCAAAGGAATAATTTTCTTTAGACTCTATATTCTATCATGTGCCACATTTTTTGATACATTCTGTAAGTAATACTAGTTTGTTTCTAAAAGGGTTCTAATTAGGGCTGTTGATTAATTGCAGTTAGCTCACACTATTAACTAAAAAAAATATTAAGTGATTATCATTGTTAAATAGTACATACCAACTGAGATTTATTAAATATTTGGATGTTTTTCTACATTTTCAAATATATTAATTTCAATTACAACATAGAACACAAAGTACATAGTGCTTACTTTCTATTTTATTACAGATATTTTCACTGCAAAAACAATATTTTCAGTTCCCCCCATACAGATACTAGAATTATATCCAGTGATCTTTTTTTCTTTCTTTTTTTTTTTTTTTTTAAATAAAAGAAAGAGGTGCTGGTACTCCAGGGGAAAAGTTGTTGAGCAGTACCATCAGAAAAAAAAGCACTGGTTATATCTATCATGAAAGTGTAACTTAGAAATGTAGTTATTGGTTACATAACCATAACTCAAACAAAACAATATAAAATGTCAAAGCCTACAAATCCACTCAGTCCTACTTCTTGTTTAGCCAACCACTGAAACAAACAAGTTTGATTACATTTACGGGAGATGCTTCTTATTTACAATGTCACCTGAAAGTGAGAACTACGTGTCTGCATGTCACTTTCGTAGCTGGCATTGCAAGGTATTTGTGCTGGATATGCCAAAGCTTCAGAAGCTCCTTGATGCTTCAGCCATCATTCCAGAGGACATGTTTCCATTCTGATAATGCTTTTTAAAAAAATGTGTTAATTAAATTTGTGACTAAACTCCTTGGGGGGAGAACTGTAAGTCTCATGCTGTGTTCTACTTGTACTGTACCATATTTCATGTTATCATAGTCTAGGATGATGACCCAGCACGTTCTCATTTTAAGGTCATTTTCACAGCAGATTTGACCAAACACAAAAAAGAACTCATGTCAGATTTCTAAAAATAGCTACAGCATTCAACCCAAGGTTTAAGATTCTGAAGCACTTTCCAAAATATGAGAGGGACGAGGTGTGCAGCATGTTTTCAGAAATCTTCAGAGCAACACTGATGCAGAAACTATAGAACACAAGCCACCAACAAAGGGTAGGAAAAAAAAAAATCAGCTTTCTGCTGATGGCATCTGACTCAAATAATGAAAATGAATTTGTGTTGGTCTGCTCTGCTTTGGATCATTTTCAAGCATGGACATGTCCTCTGGAATGGAGGTTGAAGCATGAAGGGACATATTTACATGTCATATGCACTAAAGATTCATATCTTGTGCATGGCTACAACAGTGCCATGTGAATGCCACTTCTCACTTTCAAATGATGTTGTGAACAACAAGCGGGCAGCATTATCTCCTGAAAATATAAACAAACTTGTTTGACTGAGCTACTGGATGAATAAGTAGGACTGAATGGACATTTTGTTTCTGAATGCAGCTTTTTTGTATATAATTATAAATTTGTGAGTTTTACTTTCATAATAAAGAGATTGCACTACAATACTTGTATTGGATTAATTGAAAAATATTGTTTATAAATATTTGCATTGTAAAAAAAACAGTAAGCACTGAACACTTCATATGCTATGCTGTAATTGAAATAAATATTTTAATATGTAGAACACATTGCCAATTTAAGTATTCTGAATCTATTATTGTTTAACAGTATGATTAAAATGTGGATTTTTAAAAATTGCTTGACAGCCTTATTTCAAAATTTATGAGGTTAAGAGGCCATTTCAACGACAGTACTAAAATTCCCATTCCCTGGCTACTGTTTATAGGGTATTCCAGCCAACTGCAAACTCAAATATTGTTACTCAAAACCAAGTTCATTGCTCTCAGAAAGAAGAGTAAAATACTAAACAGACTATAGACCATTTTGCTTAAATCATTGGCTGTGTCTACATTGGCACCCCTTTCCGGAAAAGGGATGCTAATGTAGACTTTGGAATAGGCAAATCCGCGGGGGATTTAAATATCCCCCGCGGTATTTGCATTAACATGGCTGCCGCTTTTTTCCGGCTTGGGGAAAAGCCGGAGAAAAGCGCCAGTCTAGACGTTATTCTCCAGAAAATAAAGCCTTTTCCGGAGGATTTCTTATTCCTTCTTATTCCAAGCCAGAAAAAAGCGGCAGCCATGTTAATGCAAATACCGCGGGGGATATTTAAATCCCCCGCGGATTTGCCTATTCCAAAGTCTACATTAGCATCCCTTTTCCGGAAAGGGTGCCAATGTAGACACAGCCAATGATTTAAGCAAAATGGTCTATAGGAAAATGAAGGGGAAAATGAATGGTTTCCAGTTTTAGTATAACTAATGTAGTATATACACCATCAGTTTTTAATTTATCATTTATACCTTTCTGTACATTTAGTTGTTTCAGTTCTGATTCTTCAATTTTTGAAGTTGCTTTATGAGCCAGAGCAGGTGTTTTCTGATAGACTTCCCAGAGCAGGAAATATTCCATACACATAGACAACAGATTCCAACCAGAAATGAATCCACAGCCAATCACTGGTGAGCCAAAGGTCATTATTTGGCCAACTGCCATTGGAGCCAAGATGTTGGTCAGCTGGTCAATTCTTCGTATTGTAGCATTCATATCTATCATTTAATTTGATAAGGAAAATATTAATGAAAACTTACAGAAGCATTCATTTCAATCAGTTATATTGCATATACATGAAACCAAATCCCAGTCCCTATAAAAAAAAAAAACAGCAAAACTCTCAACTTCACTGGGACTAGGATTTGGCCAATATGTATGATAAAAATTACTTATAGGAGCCCGTGTCCTAGTTTATCAGACACTGAAGTATATTGTAATTGTATCAAGCTGATCAAACTAAACTCCGTTGTTGTCGAGAGTTTTGTCTGAGTGAAAGGTTCATGACTGGGCAAACTGGGATTAAAGTAAGGGGGCATATATCAAATGTCTTCAGATAAATATTATCAAGCAATTTCCCTTTCATTAAATGCACTCCTGGCCCAATTCTGAAGCAACTCCACATATGATCAACTAACTACAGGGGAGTTGTATGTCCTATGAAAAAATATTTCTATAATTAATGACAAGTTTCTGAAATTATCTGTCCCATACTGAAATATTTAATTCTTGGTTTCCTCAGTTCACCTCTCTCGAATAACAAGTGACCATATAACACCCATTGTGATAGCAAAAGACCTTTGATATGACTACGTTTCCTTATAGAGGCACGTACTGCTCATCAATCATCCTGGAGTTTCAGAGAGCAAAGTTCTTTCCCCATTCTGTACTACTCATGCACATTAAGAAGCAGTCTCCTTGGGTTCTGACACTAATAGACAGATCATGGTTCACTCTCATAAGAGTCCTCCTTCTTCCTTCTCCCAAACCCATAAACTTTTGCTTTATTTTCTCCACCAAATTGCTGTGAATATAGCAGTGACTAATCATTATTTGCAATATAACTAGAGCATTTAGTTAAAGAAGAGGCTTCCATCTTGAGAGGATAGAATTCTCATCACTGAATGTTTTAAGGACAAGTTGGACAAACTAATCAGAGATGATCTAGGTTTAACTTGTTTCCGCCTCAATGAAGGTATCTAGATTTGATAATCTCTTGAGGTCCCTTCCAGCCTCACATTTCTATGAGAGTTTGGTAACCAATAGAAATTATGAGGTGCTAAGCTGCCTCCATTGCCCCCCTCACCTACCCCCACAACAGGCCACATATGTGTGAGTCTAATTTTAGAGTCCTATTTTGGAAAATCTTGGCCTAAGCTTTCAGTAAAGAGATGAACCAAGTATAAGTCAATATAGGAGTATTTTCCTGAGTCTACAGACAGTCTGAAATTGCTTGTTTCTTTCAAGGAATTAATTCTGAATTCTAAAGATCACAAATTAAGTGTCATTATTAATAATCAATCTACTCCTGATCAAAGCACACATGACAGAAGTGACAGAAATAAGATGACCTATATGATCTACTGTGGAAGTAGATTGTTTCAGCAAGGAGCTGGGGAGCGTACAATTTCTCCTGTAATATCCCTCCTCCAAAATAAGTTGGAAGAGAAGCCCTGTGGGAATCAAGATGGATGGAGAGAACCATCTAGGTAAGTGAGGAGAGAACACAGGTTTTTTTGTTTGTTTGTTTGGCTAAGTTACAAAGCTGTGAGCCTTCTTTGTGAAAAGCATATGAACAGTAATAGGACCATTTGGCCTTTGGTCATTCTGCATAATTCACAAATCCAGGTAATTTTTCTATGCAAAGGATAATATTTTACAGATGATTCTTACAATATAATCCTCATTTTGTTTCAGATATTGTTAAAACTAAGTTTAAAAAAAAAACACTAGACACAGCTTTCCTTGGGAGAGTTCTATGAAATGGAACAGGTTTGCTGTGTTAGAACCATCGAATACAAGAACTGGAAGCAACCTTGAGAGGTCATCAAGTCCAGTCCCCTAGATATTTGTTTGGAACAGAGTTGAAAGAAGGAAAATACTGCCAGATTTCCCAGGAACTAGCATCAAATACAAGTGGTCATCATGCTGCATTAACCAGTCAGTATTGATGAAAGACAAAAAAAAAGTGTGATGTAATATAAATGAATTGCCTATTACAGGATAGTTCTCCCCGGGGGTGACATTCATCTCTTCTTCTGGGAAGAAGCAGAGAAGACGTGATTTGTCAAGTACAAACAAGAACGATTGAGAACCATTAAGACTCTGCAAAGGTGAGAAATTCCTTCCAACTAGTTGTGTGTTTGAAGAAGGTTCAAAGAAACTGTAGGATATCATTGCTCTACAAAAGGTAATTGCAAAGAAACTACTGCAAGATCAAAATAGGGGACTAACAGTGACAGTTTAATTTGGGAAATAAAAATCAGAAAAGGTTACAAGTTGTACATTCTCTTTACCTAATAAGAGGTTTAATCTCTGATGTTCTTTTGATGTGGGATTTCCTTAATGGTTATAAATGCTGATAAATCTTAGTAGTTGAATGCTTAGATTAACAGGATGTGATTATGTATTAAATGCTGAACATAAGTGATTTGATTAAAATCATAGAATCGTAGAACACCAGAACTGGAAGGGACCTTGAGAGGTCATCGAGTCTAGTCCCCTGACCTCATGGCAGGAACAAGCACAAAATCATAGAATCATAGAACACTAAAACTGGAAGGAACCTTGAGAGGTCATCGACTCCAGTACCCTGACCTCATGACAGGAACAAGCACAGTCTAGACCATCCCTAATAGATATCTATCTAACCTACTCTTAAATATCTCCAGAAATGGAGATTCCACAACCTCCCTAAACAATTTATTCTAGTGTTTAACCACCCTGACATTTAGGAAGTTTTTCCTAATGTCCAACCTAATCCTCCCTTGCTCCAGGGAACAATATACATTTTGTTTGCAGAAATAAACCTGATCTCCCCTGATAGTGTTAGAGTTGGATTAAAACAAGAACTAGACAGTTTTATGGCTAGGTAATTACACTGTAATCAGTTTTACAACAGCCATTTCTAATCTCTGTAAATAGAGAGGAATACGGTAGGGGAAAAAGCTGCCCTTTTAAACTGTTGTTCTCTCACGGCTCCTGGAACACAGAAGAATGTGCTGACTTCAGAGTAAAACTGCTGTCTGTTTAAAAAAAGTCAAGCCCACCCATTAAGATGGTTTTACACAGTGGAAATAATATATATTACCTGCCAATTTGCTTCTGTCATCACCTGCAACCACAACAATCCAGTCTCTCTGAATTGTGATTGTTGTGGCAGTGCTGGCCAAATTTGCAATATTTGCTATTGTGATTACCAGTATATAGCACATGGTCTGGGGAAAGTAAAGAAGAAGTGTTAAACATGAGTAAAATGATGGGCCAAATTAATGACGAAAAAAGGCACGACCGTGAGTTTCTTGGACAATCAAAATTATAGTTCTGTATTTTAACCATTTCACGTGGGTATTACTTTTCAGACAGTACAATGGTACTCTGAACATTAAAAACAATCATTTATTTATTAGCAAAGAGGTGTGTTCTCCTGATCTCTTGGGCAACAAAGCTAAAAACAGTAAGAAAGAATCAATGGCCTCATCCTGCATCATTGAAGCCAATGGTGACTATGTCATTAATGTTCATGAGAGCAGGAACAGACTTACTGGTGCAGACTCTCAGATCAGATATAAGTTGTCATAGCTCCACTGGAGTCAAATTAACAAATTTACAAGTTACCTTCCTTTACCAATGACATAAGAAATCTTAAATGTGAGCACTTACAAGAAGCCATCCATAGTATAAGGTCATAAGCTGGGTCTTAAACAAGAAGACAATCATCAGGATAATACCACACAGGATGACAGATGAATTCTGTATAATCAAGGAAGTCTGAGCCACTGTTTCAGATAAAAAAAAGTAAGTTATAGCATCTGTGGATATTCCCCATCTTTGGAATTATTTAATGATTAGGGTTTTTTTTATCTGATCTAAATTATTTAAAAACATTTTTCATTTAAAAACTAAGTTTATTTACAAGTTAAAAACTGTTTTAAGTGTGCAGAGATCTAATTTAAATTTGGATCAACCACTGTGAATCAAATTCATTCCTGGTATAGCACCACTGGCTTTACAATGTAATACACTGAGGATATGTCTCCATTGCCCAGTCCAGTATCCCGAAATAGCTACCCCATGTCTACACAAGCTGCCGGGTATTTCAAAATATTTTTCGAAACAGGCACCCTATTTCGGTGTCCCAGGAATCCTCATTCCACGATGGTTAAGGGATGTCTCAAAATAGCATGTTATTTCGAAATTTGGTGGTGTGTAGATGTGCCAAATTTCAAAATAGATTTGAAATAAGATATGCAATTTGCATAGTGCAAATTGTGTACCTTATTTCGCGTTTAGGGTGCTGTGTAGACGCACCCTAAAAGGAAAGCAGGGGTTTTCCTTCATTGAGCATTTACTTCAGAAGTATTTGTGACTAAATGGCAATACTGTTTTTAAAAAGCAGCCAATAAAGAAATACTTAGTTTGGATGCTGAAATTTATTTTTAATAAATTATGAAACTGAGATCTCTTGTGTAAATTCTTTAAAATGTTCTGTATAATAAAGATTCATGTTTTCAATTAATATGACCACATAAGAGGTAACTAAAGAATTATTTAGTCCATTATTCTTCTGAATAGTTTCATATTTATTGACTGTTAATACATTTGAGCCTGGTTTTCATATTTAACCAGAGGATTTTTCTAGCAAGCCATTTGCAGTCAGATCCTTTAGACAGCCTCCTCTTCCAATTCTGATTTGAGGTAGATTGCTAACCGTAACAGGTAGATTGCTAACCTTTAAGCCTTGAGTTCTTGTCCACCCAGTCTCCGATAATGGCTCCCAAAAGAAGAACTGATCCTGCCACAACCAATCCATAGACTGCAGTCAAGAGTAAGCTGTTTCCATAAAGTTCAACCAGAAAGACAGACACTGCGAAGTGCCACATCCGATCTCCCTTTAATAAGAAAAAAAGCTGATATTAGTATTTGCATTTTTCAAGGTGGTAACTGATTTCTATGTTGTAATAGCTCAAAAATTACTACCTAGATTAACATGGAATTTACCAACTTTGTTACTCCCCTTCGATCCTTCCTCCTTCTAATGGAAGCCCTATCTGCCACACTGTGGGCATGGAGCTTGGGTCTACATCAAGACTATTTTTGGCCCCATTTAATGTTGGTTATCCCCCCCAATATGCCATAGTACCAAAGACTCTCTATGACAGAATTAGGAGCCAAAATTCTATACTCAGTTACAACCAACGAGCCTGAGAAACAGACTAATTTTTATAAAGATCCTTCATCACAGATCCCTCCAACAGCTACAAATACATTTTTTTATGATCATCATCATCAGTGCTCTTTTAGAAAATGTAACTTTGTTCCACCTTTAAAACTTTAGTTTCACATTGACAAAGCAACTTTCATCTATTCTAGTTGTGCAAGCTTAAAATGATACTGCCAGCTTAAATCAGTAGTACTATCTGAATACATTTCACCTACAAAAACCTTCTAAGACTGTGGTCACCAACCAATAGATCGCAATCTACTGGTTGATCACAGGGGCTCTATGAGTCGATCTTCAGCTCCCTCTGAACTGCGCGCCTCCGTGCTAATTTTAAATTGGCACTCTTGATTTGCAGAGCAGCTACTCACGGAGCAGCAACACAAGTGAATAGCTGTGGCAGCATGGTGGGATCAGGGGGTTGCACCATGCTCCAGCTGATCAGGTGGCTTTCCCTCTGCTCCAGCCCACGTGGAGCGTGGTGCACCCTAGCTGAGCGCCATGGCCAGCTGGCCGGGCAGCTGCTCCTCTTTGCTCCAGCCCAGCTGCCCTGAGTTCAGCCTGGAGAGGCTGTGCCTCATTCCAGCTGGGCTGGAGCAAAGAGGAAGGGCTTCCCGATCAGCAGGAGCACGGCACAGCTTCCCCAGGCTGAGCTCAGGGCAGCTGGGCTGGAGCAAAGAGGAGCGGCTGCCCGGCCAGCTCACCATGGTGTTCAGCCTAGGTGCAGCCTTCTCTGCAGGAGGGGGGAGCTGGCCTCAGAGGAGGTGCGAGCTGGGGTTTCCTGGCTCCGCCGGGAGGGGGGCGGGGAGGAGGAGGAGGAAAGGGTGAGAAGAAGTCCTGGGAGGAGGCGGGTATACAGGAATCTGCTTCCACTGGCACCCTGACCGCTGCTGCAGAACCCTGCCCCCTCGGCACCCTGTCCCTTCCCCCCCCACTGGCACCCTGCCCTCACCCCAGAACCCTGTTCCCTGCCCCCACTGCCATCCTGTCCCTTGCCCCAGCACTCACTAGCACCCTTCCCCAGTACCATGTCCCCTCCCCCCACCAGCACAGTTGGGGCCATATTAGTGAGGCTTGGTGGGGTTTTGGAGGCTGGGTTTTTTTGCATCTTCCTTGTGTGGCCCCAACTGACTTTTCTGTGGGTCAGTGACCCCGACTAAAAAAGGTTCCCTGCCCTTCTTATAAATAAAGACAATGCAGAAACTTTGTGTTTGACATAGTCTTTTATTTAAAAATGAAGCCTGGCCAACAAACCCCCAATTGGGGCCAAGCCCCTCTCTGGCTGCAGCATTATAACACTCCTGCACCCCCCCAGACCCTAGATCTGAGCCTATCATACATTGGACCCCCCCTTCCCTGAGCCCCTTACATACCCCAACCCAAATTCCTGCACCCTCACATCCACAAGCCTGTGGCTTGCTCATCACCCCAACCCTCAATCTGACCCCAACACTCGCCAGTCTGGAGCCCCCGCCCCGAGCCAGAGTCCCCTTCTCCACCTCCTCCTGCATCCAAATTTCCACCCAGAGCTTGCTCCTCTCACCCCTTCCCATACCCAAATCCCTCATTCCTCCTCCAGAGCCCACATATCCTGTCTCAACCCAGTGAGGGTACAGCTAGACTGCAGGAGTTTTTCCCAGGATTCCAGAGATATCCCAGAAAAACTCTTCTGCATACAGGGATGCATTTATTGTTCTGTTTTTTTAGTGGAAGAGCAAACATGCTCTTTCGGTAACCCCTGTATTCCTCGTTCCACGAGGAATAAGGGGGCTTCCAAAAGAAGGGGTTTTTCCTGACAATTAGTCCAGTCTAGACAGGCCAAATGTTGGAAAAACCTCTTCCTACAGAAGAATTGGGGAGAAAAAGTGGCAGTGTAGAGTGTATAAGGGCTGGGGATAGCAAGTGATGGAGAGGAGGAGAATAAAGAGGGCGGGGCTTCAAGGAAGGGATGGGGTCTTGAGGGAAGTATGGGGCGGTAGATCTTAGCTTGTTCTGAGATTTAAAAAGTGATGTTGGGTGTAAAAAGGTTGGAGACCACTGTTCTAAGACAACTGTTAATTGAAAGAGAGCAGGGAATAAATGGATTTCCTAGGCAGTCAGTTTTCCTTTTTCTATTGTATTGTTTCCTCAGTACATAGGGTCAGATTCCTCTTGCATTTGTATGGAGCACCTATTTGGTCAAAGAAAAGAACAAATAGATAGAAAAATATTATTGTAAAACCACAAATTAGTAGGGATACAGAGGGCAGGTTTTGAACACAAAATCATTTTTAGTTTTTCAAACTGAATAGGTTTCAAATTAAGCATCCTTACTTTTCCAGTAAAGAGTGTTATTTGAACAATTTATCCTTCACATACTGTAACACCACCAAGGTGGAGCAAGATTTTTGATAGTTGCTAATTGAGATACTATAAAAGCAAGTGCTAAAGGGGTTCAAGGATCTAGTGCAAAGGTAGCCATTCTTAATTTTATTCAAAACAAGTTTCCATGATTGTGCTTTATTAACAATGCTAAGCAATGTGCATATACTAGCAGATGTACCCGGCGTTGATCAGGTCTTTTAAAAATGAAGGTTGTGTTTTTAAATAAATAAAAAAATGTATGTGCTTTTTCCATTGTATTTTTTGAAAATGAAGGAAAATGAAGGCTGGAGTGAGAGTTCAGGGGTAAGGAGAGGCAGGGGTGGGTGACTTAGGGAAGAGGGTTGGGAGGTATGTGGGGGGTGCTCAAGGCAAGGGGTAGGGAGTGCAGAAGTCAAGACAGGTGGGAGGTGTAGGACTCAGTGCAGAGGGCTCAGGACAGGGAACTGGGAGAGGGTTTACCAGGGCCACCTGTGACTGTAAGGGTGTCGCGGCTCCAGCCATGGCTCCTCTCAGGGGGCTGAGACAGTGCTCCCTGGTCAGTAGCCCCTCCCAAGGGGCTGGAGCTGTGCTCCCTGAAGGGCAGCTCTTCCCAGGAGGGTTAGAGATTTGGGTCTGTGTACTTGTCAGATAGAAGTTGAGGCTCTGTGGGTCGGCCCTGGTCTCCAGCTGTCCTCCGCCCCCAGGCTGCAGACTGATGTGAGGAGCAGCAACCCTCAGCCTGCAGCAGCTGCCCCTGAGCTTACAGCTGCTCTGGGGGCCTTGTTTGGGACAGTGCCCCCCACGCCGCCCTGCAATCTGTTGGGAGGGGCAGCTTTCTACAGGTTGGCACTGGCCTCCTGCTGCCTCCCTGCCCTTCAGCTGGTTGGGGGAGAGGGAAGCGCTTCAGAGGCTACTCCTGGCCTTCAGCAGCCCCTTCCTTCCTTCAGCCTGTTGCAGAGGGCAGCGCTCTGGAAGGCCAGCCAGGCTCCGTGGGCTGCCCCTAGCCTGCAGGCCACAAGCGAACCCTGAAGGCCATCAGGGTTAAGGGGGTGAAGTTCTGGGGGCTGCCCCTTCCTCCAGCAGCTCCCACCCTCATGGTCCTGCAGGCTGTCTGTGGAGGGGCTAAGCCCTGGCCTCCTGCTGCTCTCCCCAGGGGCCACAGGCTGTCTGGGGTGGTATCAAACTCCCAAGGCTGTCTCCCCTCCAGTGGCCCCCTCCCAGCATGCAGGCTCTCCATGGGAGGGGGGCATGCTCTAGGTTTGGGACAGGGGGGCTCCTTACCAGTGTGCTGGCAGGGAAGACTGCTGAGCCCCACACTTGCTGGTCACTCTTGGTGCCTCAGCTGCCCCTCTCAGTATTGCTTCCCTCCCCTATCTCCTCCCTTTCCAGGTTATGGAAAACAGTCCCAGTCCCAGAACTTTACATTTTCTGGGCACAATCAAACCCTGCCTGACTTTGGTTTAAGTTAGGGTAAGAGGAAGCTGCATACAAATTTGGTGGTCCTAGTTCTTATAGTTTATGGGGTGTTCTGGATAGGGATGTAATATGCATTTAAAATATAGTTGGAGCTGGGTGGGCAGGCATTTTAATATAGATAGTTAGATAGAGAGATAGAGTCTTCAGTCAGCCTGTTTTGAAAGGCTCTTTTCTTTTGACTGTCATTTTTAGTAATCATTTTTGTGCAGTACAAAGGACTTTGAAATGCAGAGTGTGCCAAGTTTGTTTTAAAAAAAGTCTTAGAACAGATACTAAGTAACCTGTAACAAGTGAACAAGATGATAAAAAAGGAAAAGGCCTCAAGAAACACACTGTTTGGGACTGACAATGGAAATCCAGGGGAGTAGCAGCAGCATATCCCAGTGATGAATATGGCCTTTGGGATTCGTTAGAAGATTTAACTGTGCCTCTTCTGGAGATGGTCTATAAAGTGCTACCAGACTATTGGTTGTTTTTTCAGTTTACCTGTACAGACTAACTTGGCTACTTCCTGAAGCTTCTGGAGATGGAGTTGCTTCAAACACTTGTAATTGTAAAAAGCTCTGTCATTCATACAAGTACCTGTAATAGTGATCAGAAGCAGGGCCACAGATTTTTCGGGGCTCAGTCTGAAATTGAGGCCCCTGTAAGGGAGTTTCTGGAGACCAAAGGGATATAAAATACTGTTTAATGGGTTAACAGGTTAAACGTGATGTTTAACTGGTTAACAATTAAAGGGGATACAGGGTGGGAATGCTCCAATCCCATTGGGCTAGAGCAACCACTCCACCTGTCTCGGCTGGGCTAGAGTGGCCCCTTCAGTCTAGTCCTGCCTGTGGCGTGCCCTGCCCTGCTGTAAGCTGCTCCAGATGTCCAATGATGCTTACCGGTTAACCGGTCAACCTTCCACATCCCTATACCACATTCACCTTGCAGCAGTAGCAGTTGTCCTGTGTCTACTCGCTCTAAGGCATCAGGATATGGCGCACAGGATCACATCATCACTCTAATATGGTCTGGCCATCTCCACTGTAATGGAGAGGCAGGTGGGACAAAAATAAGCAGCACTGTGTCTCTGCGTCAGATCACCACACCATCAAATCCCATAGGCTTGGAATCCTGCAAATAGAAGTCTTCCCCTTCACCCAAAGAACTGACTTGACTTTTCCACATGCAAGGATAAAAACAAATTCCCTCTAACAGGGGGGGGGGAGGGCAGGGAGAACTATACATAAATTCAATTTATGAAAGAATTAAGTGTTTTCCTGAATCTTGCAATCAAAAGAATTCAGTATAATTAAAGTTATGCAACTTTCACTTACAACATACCTAGGTGGTCACTGAACCCTAAAATCTGGCTAGCCTATTTTATTATTCATTCAGGTAAAAAGTTAATGCCAGAGAAAATACTATTTTCATAATGGTTAAGGCCTGATACACTTTTATTCCTGCATCAAAGTTTTAGTTGTTGAAACGGATTAAATTTTAAAGAGGAGTTATGAAAATATCCCTCACACCACTTTTTAAATATTTGAAAATTATGCACTGTGACACCCATTACACTCAAGGTAAAATCCTGGCTCCAGTGAAGTCAGTGACAAACTTCAATGGACTTAAATGCACACCGGATTTCTCCTTCAGTATCTGCAAGACAAGATATTGCTACTGGATACTATGAACCCACATATTAAGTATAGCTTCTCTTGGTTTCCTATGCTTGCACTACATTGCATGAGCATGCTATACATTACTCTTTAATTTTAAAAATGTGAACATTTTAAAAAGCAATATTGTCTTGTTTAGGCTGTGATACTGCTCAAAGCTACTGCTACAGAATCAGTTGTTCTGGAGTGCATTAAAGCTGAGCAATTTATCTATTGTGTTTACCCACAGTCCTTGGGTCATGCTATTCCACATTGCTGCCGCTTCTCCAAAGCTAGCAGTTTTCAACAGGAAAGCATACTGAGTTTTGGTTTGAGTTTGTGTTTTTAAATCAACTTTTTAAAAAGTCAAGTATCAGTTAATGACACAGATCAACAGTGAACTGATAGTTAAGCAGTACAAACAGAAAACACGCCAGGAACAAGCATTTTTAAACTATAGCTAGGACTCCAAATTTTAATACTGTAACACATTTAGCCTTACTGAAAAGGCAGAACCACATCACAGGTTAATCCTGCTATTTTTGGTATCTTTCTAATTATTTATATTAAAACCTATTCCTGTACGAAGAAACAAGTCCTCCTTGAATGGCAGTTTGTTGATCTCTAGTACTGTGTTATAACAGTATAGAGTTGAAAGAATATGGTTAAGGCCCAGATCCACAGAGGTATTTAGTCTCCTAACTGCCACGGATTTCAAAATACCTCATGGAACTGGGCCTAATGCACCAGCTCAATATAGCATGTAGGGCACATCTACACAGTAGGAATTCCGAGGAAGAACACTTTTCCTTCCACTTCCCTTACTCCTTGTATAATGAGGGTTACAGCAGTAGGAGTAAGAAGTCCTCTAGCTCAACTGTAGATGGGGACTATGTTATTTCAGAATAACGTAAGTTATTCCGAAACAACACTGCTGTGTAGATGTACCTTAGCTTGTCCTTGACATCTGCATGTGCTTAAGCGCTTTGCTGAGCGGTGGCCTAGTAGTTGTATTCAGGGCTTCCGAAACACTGCTGTGTAGATGTACCTTAGCTTGTCCTTGACATCTGCAATACTTAAGTATGTGCTTAAGCGCTTTGCTGAGCGGCGGCCTAGTAGTTGTATTCAGGGCTTCCGTCAGTTCTCTGAATTATTGTGGATATAATAGGCGAGTATGTTTAATCAATTAGTTTCCTTCTGTATTTAAGAATGTGTGCTTAACAGTATGGGAGTTGTTTAAGCTTTCCCAACTACATTAAAGACATTTATCTATGAAAGATTTTGTAATATGAATTCAGATCACTGTGATTTTTCAGAATGAAAACTATACAAAAGCCATATCAGAGGTTTGTTTCCATCTTGAGGGGCACAGGAGGAAAAAAAAAATCGGAAAATAACTTTCCCCTTCTCTCCTCCTCCTTTTTGCCATTACTGAAAGTCTGATTTTAGGCTCCAAAGAGTGTGTTAAAGAACTTCTAAGGCCAAGTTCTGCACTTGTCTAGATAGACTAAACTTTTCTTGTTTAAATAGGAGTATTTTCCTGATAGGGGAAACTGCTTCATATCCTCAATTGCCCTTAAAATAACATTAAACACCATATACTATTTCTAAAAGCTGAAGTTTTTCATCAAATAAAAGTATTTTTCCACTCAATAGTTTGCACTAGTCCAAGCTAGTATCTTATGTTCTGATTCAGTCACCCTTACTCATGTTGAATTATATCTTACCATAATCTGCGAGTAGCCCCCATTCACATAGTAAGGCACCACACCATGTTAGTAGAAATGCAGTCAGGTGCACTGTGCTGCTAGTTAAGCTGTCTGTTTTGTTGACTGAAGATACTACTTTTTGTAACAGCAGTAGCACCTACAAAAAAAATCTTTGAACTAAAATAATTCATTGCTAGAAACTCTGCACCTGTTTAAACCAGTAGTTTTTCTCCAAGCCTTTTCAAAAGGAACACAACTGTGACCTTTATATTAATGGAAGTGAGCATCCATCTTGTAGTCCTACAACAGTGTACTCAGCGCTGTACAAAGTACATAATAAACCAGTCCCTATCCCTGAGTTTACAAATTAGAACAGACATAGAAAGACAAGTATTCAAGAGGAACAAGTTACTTTTCAAAAGTGCTTTTATTCCTCTTCTTAATCTAATACTTGTCATTCACTAGCAAGATACTAGATTAAGAATATAACATAGCATTTCTCAGCTAGATTTTGCTATTACATATGACTTCAGTGAACTAGGAGATACATTTCACCCAAATCAATTTCTAGATCTACTTCATTTGCCTTGAAGCACTAAGAAAGGTTGGTTTAGATGCAGGTGAAAGTGTTTCAGTGAACAAGCACTTTGCGAGAGGTAAGGCTATTACAGTTTCAGAAAAAGAGGTTTGTGCATTGTCCAACATTCATTAACTTTCCTTGGTGAGCAGTTATATATGCTCTTTGAATTATAAAAATCAAGGACAAGGCAGCACAGAATACAGTTTGATTGGCAGGACTCTTTTATTGTTATCCTCCACCCACTTTGAATAGCGTCTTACTCTGTAAGAAGCCTTACTGGTTTCAATGATAGTCCTCAAGAAGTAAGGTATTATTCAGCGTGCAGGAGGGTAGTAAATCAGGCCTTAGACATTTGTAAGCTCTGAACTTTTATTTATTGGAATATTAGCAAATATACCATACCATATCTTGCAAAGATTAGGAAGACAGAGAGATCTCACCACAGCCCTTTGCAATTAAGCTTTTGCCAAAGACCACCTTTTGTATACACATTATAGTGTGCAGTGCAGACTAGTCAAAAGCAAATTAATGAGGATCCACTGCATTATGTAGCTACATTTTTGACTTACCCAAGTGGACAGCGCATGACCAAGGTAAAGAAGAAACTTTGCGGATGTAAAATAATTGACACAGGATCCTAAAATAAAGATAAGAGATAAATGCTAAAGAGAATTTGAATGCATTTTGCCTATTTACTTGAAGAGGTAAGGCTGCTACTAGAGGTAAAATTCCAGTTAATCAGTTAACTGGTTAAACATCAGGTAAACCTAACATTTAACTGTTAATCAACTAAGGTGGGATCCAGGCTAGAGACTACTCTAGCCCAGCTGGAGGAGCCCCCAGCCCCGTGTTGGGGCTGCCACCAGCTTCCAGCCCACACCAGAGCAACCCTTGCATGTGGGGCTCCCAGGCCCACCACAGAGAGAGGCTGCTCTGGACAAGAACAGCCCCTATCCACAGTGAGTCCCTGGTGGAGCTAGAGCAACCCCAAGCCCCTGGCAGGTGAGAAGCTGTTCCACCCTCACTGGTTAATATTTCATATCTCTAGTTGCTAATAAATTGTATTAATTTTAAAGCTAGCAATCTGCACTGCAAAAATAAAATAAGATGTTCGCTATATGTGTTTTAATTCCACACAACTGGAATAGCTACAGCATACCAGTTGTGCAAGAAAAAAAAACATACTAGATGAAGAAATACCTAACAGATCTCAACATGGCTTACTATCTAAATAGGAACATAAAGTTTTGCAGCAAGTTTAGACCATGACACCAGACTGTAACCCATCCAACAAGCAATACCAGTGTTTCTCCACAGCAGGTCTATGGACAAGCCAGTCCCTGGTATAAGAAAGATTGAGCAACACTACACTACACCATTTCTGTGTGCCCCTCTTTCCACACAGCACAAGCACACACACACAGGCTCTAGTTCAACCACAATTAACTAGACTCTATTCAAGAATTACACAATGTAATTCTATGGCCCAGGGTTACAGAAAAGCAGGGTAGGAGATCTCACTATATTATCATTGACACAAAAGACAGGCCTATGCAACACTTTAAAAACTAACAAGATGGTTTATTAGGTGATGAGCTTTCGTGGGCCAGACCCACTTCCTCAGATCAATTTGTGGAAGAAAATCGGCACGACCATATATACCAAAGTAAAATTGGCACTATGGTATATATGGTCGTGCTGATTTTCTTCCACAAATTGATCTGAGGAAGTGGGTCTGGCCCACGAAAGCTCATCACCTAATAAACCATCTTGTTAGTTTTTAAAGTGCTGCATAGTCCTGTCTTTTGTTTCAGCAGACCAACACCCCTGCATCTCTATCACTATATTATCATTAGGGGCCATTCTGGCCTTAACATCCGTGTTACCTCTGGCACAGCCCTATGTGCATGTGCTCCCTTCCCCTGTAACCCACGCTTGTAATGTCATACACATGAGCTGCACATAATGAAGAGCTTGAACGTGCCCCCGTGCATGTTCTTGCCCGCCTTCCCAGGCAGCAGAGTACCCCCCCAGACGGGCTGCATCCCTTCTCTAGCAGCCACCTTCAGATCAACAGCCTGGTGCCCGCAGGAGACTCACCGCAGCATCCTTCGCGGCTTCCCTGATCTGCGGCCCGAGTCATATCAGCTAGTAGCCTGGTTCCCTCTCGCCCTTCTGCGCTGCCAGTCCTGGACCCCCGGTGACGGAGACGCGCAACAGGCGGGTGTAGGCAGGAGAGGCACAGGGAGCAGAAGCGGCGTCTCTTAGTGTTTGTCTTTCCCAACTTAGCTATCACTGTAGCTGAAGTTGGAAAGCGATGGCCGTATGCGCGCGGGGCTGGCGGGGCTTCGCTCCACCGAAAAGGGGGCCCAAGCGGGCGCCCAGCTCCTCCGGCCGCTACTGCAGCGCTCGAGCCTCGCGACCCTTTATGGCCAGGCTGGGCCGAAGGCGGGCGACAAGGACCGGGCGCCGCCTATCAGCGCCAGGCTGATTTGCATATCTCCGCCCCGCGGGGCGAGCTGCAGAGCCGGGCCGGTGAGCCCGCAAGGCAGGGCGCCTGGCCGAACCCTGTCTTCGGCAGAGTGGCCGCCGCGGGGACGCGGAGCTGAGCGCCGGCCGGGCGTGGGGGGGATGCGGCGGGCGTAGAGCAGGTTGGGGATTGTACACTGAAGGGGAGAGTAGGGAATAGAGAGGTTGGCCAGGCGTAGGGAGCAAGGGCTGCATCGCTATGGGCTCCCAGATGTCTCCCCCCCACACAATTTGACACTGTTTCCCTAGGCTTGAACAAAGACATTAACTGGTCATTCCAATATAAAACCAGCCTTCCATACATTTAACACCTCATTTACATTAAAAGCTAAGTGTGGGACACTTCCAACTAGCCCACTCAGCATCATTAGCACCCCTACTACAACTCACAGGTTATTTTCCTCACCCTTCTTTTTCTGTTACAAATTCTGGCTTCCTGGTTTCTTTGTCCACTCTAGCTTATCTGAAGAAATGGGTTTTGCCCACCAAAGCTCATGATATTCTATATATTTTGTTAGTCTCTAAGGTGCCACAGACTACTAGTTATTTTTAAAGTTGCAGACTTACATGGTACTGCTCTGCAGGCCCACACAGGCTATGTCTACATTGCATAGTCTTGCTCAAGAAGATATGCAAATAAGCCATGGCGATGAATATCGCAGTGCCTCCTTTGCATACCTAATGAGTTGCCATTTTTGCACAAGGGGCTTTTGTGCAAGAAGGAGCAGTCTCAAGAATCCTTCTTGTGCAAAAGCCCCTTGTGCAAAAATGGCAGCTCGTTAGGTATTCAAATGAGGCATGGCAATATTAATTGCTGCACCTCATTTGCATATCTTCTAGCGCAAGAATGCACAATGTAGACGTAGCCTCAGAGTACTCTATACAGCAGTCTTATTTCAGAATAACATCAAAGAGCGTGTCTACACTACAAGCCTCTATTCTGAAATAATGTCTAGCTGGAACACTTCTTACTCTGACTCATGGCAACCTTCAATACATGAAGAATAAGGGAGGTCAAAAGAAGAGTGTTCTTCCTTCGACTTCCTGCTGCGTAGACAGCACCAAAAGCCTATTTAAGCTATTTCGACTTAAGCTATGCAATTGACGTAGCTGAAGTTGCCTAGCTTCATTTGACTTTAGCCCTGCTGCGTAGATGTACCCTCAGGCTACATCTAGACTACATCCCTTTTTCGGAAAAGGGATGTAAATTAGACGTATTGCAATTGCTAATGAAGCGGAGTGTGGCCGTGTACATCAGAATTACAGACTCACAGACATTGGGCTACTATATATATGATATGAACATGGGGCAATTGCTAGATTAGATATAAAGTTTATTAAACAACTAGAATTAAAAGCTTATTGTCACCAAAAAAAAAGCCTTTAAAGGTGAATGTAGAACTGGATGAAGAGGTAGCTTACAGATGAGCCTGATATGGTTATTATATACAAAGACACATAAGAAAAAACAGGAATATGAAAATCTCCTATGCAGAGATAAACGTCTAATTTAAAGTTAAACTCACCATCAGACCAAGAAAATCACTTTACAGTAACAGAATTAATTACGACTTTAAAAACCTTTAAACTATGCAAAGACTGTAAACGGTGTTTCATAATGTAGAATCACTAATCACAGAAGGTACTCCAGCCTCCAGTCACACAGATGAAAACTTGGATGTGTCCAAAAAATAGGTCAAGCCCGAGATTCCACACTGATTTAAATCAATTATTTTGCAGGTATAGAGAGCTTCTTCTGTTGTCTCTGTTGTAACTGCAAGGTATATAATAAATGGAAATGACTTGGTAGAAAAATGTCAAAATCTGAAGCCTGTTTGTCCCTTGAGGCCCAGGCCAAATGGTCCTCCTGGACCCTCCTCTGATAGGTCCTGCTGCTCTGAGATGTCTTAAAAGGATCTAATCCTGCTTAGCTGTTGCAGAGTAACTCGGATATAAAACACATCCCTGGCCATTATGAAGTAAGTGACACCAGCGTCTCAGAACAGGTAATGTTGAATTCTTTGTCTGCTTCCCTCTCCTAGAATCCTAAAGTATGTAAGAAGGCAGTATTTTCATGTATTGATTGCTCATTTTCCTGGCTTGAAAACCGAGTGGCCTTCAAGGGCGCCATTTTGGGTGTGTATGGGGGTGCAGCAACTGTGTGCTCCAGGATGTGGCTTGCTTTTCATCCTGTTCCCCAGACACTAAGGGAGTGAATGGAAAGTGCTTGCATTCCATGCATTCCTCTCACACATGGCTGATGAGCTCCGATCACCAGCCAAATGTGAGAGGCATGCACAGAACGTAAGCACTTTCCCTTCACTCCTTTAGCATCCAGGGAATGAGATGAAAAGCAAGCCACGTCCCAGAGTGCATGACTGCTGCCCTCCTATGTGTCCAAAATGGTGCCATTGGTGACCTTTGAGGTTAGGAAATGTGATGTAATTCAAATGTATTAAGACAGGGAACATTAATATTAGGTACTAATGGAAAGGAAAACGAAAACAGTCTGCTAGTACTCTGGTGTATATATAAATACAATATGTGACATTTTATGATCCACTAGGACAGTGTTTCTCAAACTGTGCTCCACAGAGTCCCAGGGCTCTGCGATACATCTCCAGGGACTCTGCGAGGTTGACAAACTGAAAACATCGATAGGTACAACACATACAATCAGTGGACCACTGGGGCTCCACGTAAATTTTTACGCATGTAAAGGGCTCCGGAACCCAAAAAGTTTGAGAACCGCTGCACTAGGACAAAGAGAAAATAGAAACATATTGAGTCAGATCTCATGCCAGTATTGCCAACCCCAAGCATTCATATTTTATGAAGTCAGGACCCCAAACAATAATGAGTTTGGTTACAAAAATGATCAATTAAAATACATTTTGGGATCTTCTTATTTGCCTTCTGGATTTCAAGCCCTCAAGGCTTTCAAGCCTTTCTGAATCAAAGTTTATATATAGTCAAAGCTACTTTGGAATATGAAGCAAGGGACCAACAAAGATAGTTTAGGGTGATCTTTTTAGACCAGAGATGGCACAATAAAGGTGGTCTCTAGTACAGGTTTCTGTATACTTCTTTCCTCACTATACAGGCAACTTGCAGCATCCACAGTGAGCACAAATTACAGAAACAAATAATTTTGTAGAATTTTAAAATGGCAGAAATTTAAATGAACAATATGCAGTATTTCTAGTTAGGATGTCATGCAAGTGTTTTAAAGAATACGAAATATTATGTTTCATAATTCATTATAATTGCTCCTAAGGGAGCTCATGCAGGAGATTATCTTCCTATTGTAGAGCATTGCAAAATTGGCCCGGTGAATTTATGGGAGAGAGTTTTCTTCACCAGAAATATTGGGTATATAGGTCATTACTGGAGACGGGATACCAAATTCTATGGACCAGTAATCCATTCAGGTATGGTCATGCCTATGATCCTGTTCAAAGTATTTATTGAAGATATGACTACATTTTTTATTGGCGAATCATAGTTTATTCCTTGTATAATAAAAGCACTAGCCTTGGGGAAAAGGTAATACACCTGCATATAAAAAAGGAGGACTACCATTGCTATTTTTATGGAAAGATTGGATAGCCTGAAATGAGTTCAGTAGTTTTTCCACAGCGTATATTAACTAATAACTAGAATATATACCAAATCTTTCTCTCAGGTTGGGATCAAAGGCAGAGGAAGTTTTAGGAATGCTTATATTACAAAGCCTAAGTGCCTTCATGTACTGCATTTCATCAACAGGTAAAATTTCTTTTTCTAGCCCTTGATTTTTTTCTTGTTAGCATACAGAATTAAGATTATGGCATGACAAATACATATTATATATTATGTCCAAATTAACCAATATTTAGTTGATGATTAGACCTATTTACTAAAGGCTTGATTCTGTGTCCTTTACTCACAAAAAATAGTATTTTACTCTGTGAGTAGTCCTATTGATTTCAAGGGAAGTACCTTAAGGCATTACTCAAGGGATATTGAACACTATGCTTCAGCCTTTAAACTAATCTCTAGTTATAAGATGCTTGGTTAGATCTGTGTGAAAGGTAGTGGTGAGTCCCACATTTGGTTTCTAATGGTGCATCTACACTCTACCCATAGTCTGAAATAAGCTACACCAGCGGTTCTCAAACTTTTTGGGCTCCGGAGCCCTTTACATACGTAAAAATTTATGCGGAGCCCCAGCAGTCCACTGATTGTATGTGTTGTACCTATCGATGTTTCCAGTTTGTCAACCTCATGGAGCCCCTGGAGATGTCTCGGGAGCTCCGGGGGCTCCACAGAGCACAGTTTGAGAAACAATGAGCTACACAATTTGAGCTATGCAAATTGCGTAGCTTTTTTTTTGAGTTAATTTCAAAATAGCTTATTTAGTAGTTTTTTAAATAACCAGAAATATTTGGAAATAATGGGTGTGCTGTTAAGATGCAGGATAGCTATTTTGGGATACCTCTGGTATCCCGAAATAGCTCCACAGCATAGAAGTACTCTATCACAGTCCTCTGGATCTGACCACTGTCAAAGGCAGGATGCTGGCCTCCAAGAATATTGATTTTCATCCAATATGTCAATTATGATGTTTCTCTGTTAGGCAGAACTGGACCTAGATAGTTTTCTATTATTGCTATGATTCTTCAAATACATTTAATGTTAATGACCCATATTAGGAAAACAGTATTAAGATAGAAAGTTATTCATGCTTTTTTTTTTTTTCTATTTTGAGCGTCACAAGATGAAGGTGGGATGAATTTAAATACAGAAACACTAATACAATAAAATTACAAAATACAGTATAAAATGCTAATAACAACTGGAATGACTCCATACACGTTGGCTGTGTCTACATTGGCACCCTTTC